ATTAACTGAAAATGTTCAGCTTCAAAACTCTTGCCTTTTAGCAAAGTCCGTCTTGTCTATATCATGCACAAGGAAGCCATCTAAGCTATGTTTATGGCAGACTGTGACAATGGTTCTACTCAGGTAGCTGTGTGTCTGAAACAAGGCAACAAAGTCACACCTGAAGTATTCCTATACCAGTAGAGCTGAAAAATCACCAAATAATTACCATTCACTGCGTCAAAGTGGCTTAAAACCAAATAAAACATAAAAAAACAAACAAAAATTCAAAACTCCTCAAAATCTTCGCTTTTTTTCTTTTTACATATATAATTGTCAGATATGTTTAATATGTAAATGTATGGACTATAATAGGCAGACTTGAATCAATCAAACACCAATGATGAGACGATCTGAGACAGTGATCTGAGACAATCAGACTGTTAATTCTGGTTGTTGATCAGCCAAGTGTGAGGTGTAATTGACCAGTATAAAGACAGATTACCATGTTTTTATCACCTCATGAATATAAACCATCAAAGGATGCAGCCATGCTTCACAAATATGGAAAGTTAAACCCACCTTTAAATGGATGTCATAGTTAAGCTATCTGTTTTTTGTTTTTAGTGGCTTCAAAAATTACATAACATTTAATCAAGCAGCAAAATGCTAGTGAGGCGTTTAGATGTGGTGACTCAGACCTGGCCATACTGGTGACATAGGTTGTATTCATTGTTATGACATTATAGCACTCAAATGAGTTTTAATACAAACTTTGATGTAACACTTTAAAGTTTGAGACCACCTGGTAATTCAAATCAGCAAAAAAAACATCCTTCAAAGAACTTGAAATGTGACTTAATTAGGGGCATTGAAAGTTCATGCTTTGCACAAGACTTCATCAAATGCAGAGAATGACACAATAGGCTTTTACATCTCATTAAATTGTTATTGTGTTTTATAACAGGCTTTTACATCTTATAAAATTGTTACTTTTAATCCTTACCATGCTTAATATATTAAATGGACTAGTCCATCTTTAAGTTTGGATCAAATCATTCATCATTTACAGGGAAAACTCTTTTTTTAGTACTGATTCTAATAGTGAAAAATGCAGACTTTTAAAGATCAGACCACACGGATGTGCCATCAGAATCAGCTGATGTAAATTTATGCAAAAAATGATTACATGGGTAGAATCTGTTGACACTCTCAGGTTTTGAGCTAGACCACATTTTGTGATGAACATGACAGGTTTTATACCACCAGTAAAGGGCATTTATATGCAGTTTGAACTGTGACTAAACTGCGGTTTGCTTTTTTTGAGTACTTCAGTTTAGTTATACTTGCCACTGGTTGCCCATATGGGCGAGTCCTCCAGAAGAGTATTAGTCATTTTCCAGACTTTTAGCTTCTCCTGGTTCTTGCGCCAAATGTTTAAGCACGCATACAGTACGGGACTAGACCTCCATTTAAAACCTCATTCGAAAGACTGATTAGAAATTTTAGTTGGCTAGCCCGAGAATCAAACCCACATTTTTATGTTGAGATTACAAGTCTCGCGCTCTAACCGATTGAGCTATGTGGGCTGGCGTTGGCAGTTTGCTCGATTTTGAAATACCTCGAATTTGCATTAGACTGGTGAAGAATCAAAGCTGTATAAGTACATTACACAAATTCTGCACGGTAAAGTTATTAAGGTTAAACACTAGAGATTATAGATAATGTGTAAATTTTTATGCATTGACACATCCATCATGATGTAATCAAAGGTTAGGACATCCTTTGTCTCAGCCATCTGTTGATTTTCAACAAGTAAAAATGCCTTACTTTTTACAGTTTTTTTTATGTCACTCCAACATAGTATAGGTATAGGTGACTTTCCAGAAGACCCAGCCCTTCCATGCATTATTTTTCTGTCACTGTCAGGATTTGAACCCCGGTGTGTGGCAAGTAGTTTGAATTTGACGATTAGCTCGGCCCAGACACTCCTAACTGTCATTTACAATTAATCCAAATTCAACTTTAATCTGCAAACGTACAATATTCATGTGCTTTAAGTAACAACTTTTTAGAGAATCAACCATAAGAAAACTGTTTATGGAAACAACAATACTTCTTACCTTTTTATAGATTTTGTATAAAAAATATTCCATTAAATATAGCTTAATACCTTTTAAAGCATTGCATTGACTACCCACAAACATTTCAGCTTAATTCTATAAAAAAACAATCTGCCTTAGTGCAGATTCCCTTCCTGAATTCTGCATGCTGTAAAGAACCAGTAAAGTTAATTAATGGTGTAGAGTCAATAAAGAGTATGGAACTTGACATTGACCATAATGACTGACAACATCGCTTGGCAGTAAATGAAGGCTGCTATTTAATACAACATAAATCAGGCTGATTATTTGTTACACTTCTGACCTGGTGTTGACAGGACATGCCAATAAGTCACTTATATGAGGGAATCAATTTTTTGCAAGATTCGGCCAGCATCTATACAATCTATGCCTTAATGTAATTACAAAATGGAGTTTCAATTTGAAAGCTATCTTGATGATATTGAAAATGTAAATGACAATTTTAGAAAATATTCAGCTTACTTGAGATTTCTTTTACATAATAAGAAATTGAAACCGGTTGTTTTAATGGTATATGGATAGAGAAAACAGATTGTGTAAATTGTGCGACCAAAATGTAATTGAAAATGAATATCATTAAATGCTTTGTTGCAGTAAATACAGAAACCTTAGAATTAAATGTCATAGTTATGTCTTTTGGCCTACAAAAAATGTTTTTAATACTTTTTTATATACTGTCATATATATAATCAGTGCCTGGCAGGAATCTTTGTAACAAATTTTGTGTAATACATCAAACTATCTATAATTAGAAAAATTGAGATTTCTTCATAAATTGACAGCAGTCGTGTTATAAACATCATGATTATTCAATGATAAGTGATGTTACAAACTTGCAGTATTATAAAAACTTATTTATGTCTTTCTTTGCCATATATGTTTTATGTAAATATATTAAAAGGCATTTCTCATGTTGATTGCCATTAACGTTTGAAACCTTGAATATAGTAACTCATTAATTCTTCCATTTTGCATCTAAATATCTGTAATATCTACCTTAAAACCTTTCTCTTATTCAAACCTTCCAACATTAGAAATAAATCATGGTTTAAATGGAGATTGCAATGAAAACGGTGCTTGCAATTTAGTTCATTACCATGGCAACTGGAAAACAAAACCCATGAATGCATGAAACCATCTAAAGATTGGATCGTTGCAGAAATTTCAATTTGCAGTTAAATTACACAGCAAAAAAAAGCACAACAATATTCTCAACAATGGCTGCCCTTCTTTTTTATTCATTATCAGCCAATTATTGTCAAATGGTAAATTAGATTTAAACCATGAAAGAAAATTAATGAAATTGTAAACGTTTCTATCATACATAAAGTATTGCAATTAAAAGGTAATATGGAGACATTATAATTAGAAGTTTGAGATCTCCGTGCTCTAGATTCTGTACGCTGACATTTTGCGCTGACATTTTGCGATGCTCTTACGCTCTTACAACGTAGGTAACATTAAGCATTTAGTCTACCGCCTTAATTTTTATTCTTTACAATCTGGAGGTTCCTTATTACTGTCCTCAAAAGAAATTTATTCCCCTTGAGAGAAGCCGGAGAAAATTGCTTTTAACACCCGTTATATGCCATTCCATTAGAAGTTATCTCAATAAATTGCTTCACTGCCTCAAAGGATAGTTCTTAATGAAATTTACAAATAAATGGAATATGAAGTGGTCCATCAATGAATCCTTGAAGACTAAACCCTTGCAAAAAAAAAAAAAAATTTTGTATAGAATGTTCTAAATAAATTTTCAAGGATCTTTAGAGTTACTCAGAGTTCAATTTGGTAGTTATATTGCTTCTACACTTAAAGGAACTCCTCTCAGATTTTTGTTCATAACCGGAAATAATTTTTATGAGATTTCTGAATCATTTATTAATTATGACTGGACTAATAACTTGTGTACAAAATTTCATATCAATATTCAGAACTGCAAAATGAACAAAAAGTAAAAAATATTTAAACGCTTTGAGCGTTAAAAATTGCAAGTCGGCTGAATAAGAATTAGGCAAAAAATGATTTTCAATTTAATTCCGTGTAAATAACTTTATTATTTTTTTGTCTATTATTCCATAACAAGTGTCCCAGTTGACTTTCAAATTCAAATTTCAAAAGATTTTCAAATTCCATGTTTTACCCTTGCAGAAATTACTGGTAATTTACCAGGATTTTACTAGGATTTTACTGGGAAATCCCAGGAATATTTACAGGGATAATTCCTAGGAAATGCAAGGAAATCTGAGGAATTTCCAGTTACTGGCTGGCGGTAATTGGAACGACTGAAAACTACTGGTAATAACTAGAAAAAAAATGTGAATCCAGGAATGCCTTAGATTGACTTGTACTGGATATCCTAATTACTGAGAATGACCTGCCCACGGTATTTGGAACATTTTTCTAGTCCATCCCAGGCATTTCAAGGCATTTCAAAGACCTATGATAATACCAGTAACTCCTGGTATTTTTATAATCTTAGGAATGACTGAGAATGACTTGCCCACGGTATTTGGAACATTTTTTCTAGTAATTCCTTGGCATTTCAAAGAACTTGGATATCCCAGACGTTCCTGGTATTTCCATGATCTAAGGAATGGCTGGAATAGCCTAGGATTGCATTGTACTGGAAATTCCTAGCAACTGCCCGTATGACTGGACCACAGCTGAATTACTGTTACTAGGGCCACCAAAGGATCATTATGATTAAAATCAAATAATCAGTTTTGTAGAAGATATCATTACAAGAAATTGCTGACAATACAAGATGCCATTGGACACAGGGCAATCACATTACTTCACATAAGCACATTGTACTGATGTGAACTAAAATGTGCACTTTTAAATCCAGTTAAATGACAAGCAGTTCAACATCAGTCATAAGCAAACTATTAAATTTAATAAAAAGCATGATTGCATATGAAACAAAGTATTTTCCTTACAGTTTAATTGTTTTTGTATTGTTTAGACACACTTCTTTAGATATATCATTGTAGTTACTGGAATGCAATGAGCTTTGGCAATAACACTTGACTTAAGATTCCTTTTTTAAAATAGTGTAACATGTGACACCTCTTTGAATTTAGCACTAAAAGTTAAAACATTATAATACTTGACTAGGTCACTCCTAGATTTTAATTTGCTTTTCATCATTTTCTTAACTGATTGAATGAGGGACATCACTTAAACAGTCTAAGAAATGTCACTGAAACAGTACAAAACATGACGCAAGAAACCTCCAGTATTACATGCAACTCCTACATTTTCTATTGCTGTCTTCTGAAATGAGTAAATCCTTGCTGTAAGATCCAATTTTTGCCGGTTTAATAATTTTCTTGTCATCAAATCTTTCATACAGAGAATCTCAGTAATCCAGTGAATTGATGATCTCTGGTAATCAAATGAAATGTTGATCTTTGGTAATCCAACGACTTCTTTGCATTTTCACAGATATATACACACAACAGATAGGAAGCTCTAAAAATAGATAATAGTCAGATTCAGACCCACAATCCTTTGCAGGCTTCGGTGATAATTGGGTTTTCCCGATAGTCTCCAATTTTCGCACTCTCGTTAAACTTGGACGATATCCATGAATTATTGTTTACATACCCCTACATAGATTTTCATCAGAGAAATATTTGTATAGAAAAGTGTGTATAGTACCTTTTACAATAAATAACTATTGCTTCTTATTTAAGCAAAAAAATGTTTCATCTTCCTCCGGGAATTCAATATGACGGTGTTTTGGCTATTTTTACCCAGGATGCATCAAATCTCTGAAAATCCCCGACATATGATAACTTATAAGAACACAATTCTGCCACAATTCTGAACACAATACTGAATTTAACTGTGTGACATCACAGTTTCTTCTCCATGTATATTTAGCTCCATGGCATTTTGTACAACTTGCCCTCTTTCAATTAACTGAAGAATTTATGACAGTTTCTATATCAAAAGTTTTTGACCCGTTTTATAGATTTAAGCTCTCACTCTCCTCAGCTTTGAACATCATCCACGAGTAAGTTGAACTCCTCCCTTTGTGGCCTTGTGGTACCAATTCTTATCTGAAATCAAACAAATACATTTCTCTACATATGGAAATATACCAAGATATTTGAATACGAAATAAATACAAATCACTTGGCAGGACGTGAAGTGAATGCACACTTGGTTCAAGCGAGTAAAATCATTGCAAACTTGACAAAATGGTTTCTGTGTCTTAAATATTTACAAAACTCTCACATATATTTTCAGGTAAGTGGGTTTGTATGTTATTTGATTTTCTTTTTAAATGGCCATTCATGAAGGAAGTGTTTATGACACACTCTGTTCTGGGCCTCAGATTTGTAGCTTTTGGTTATACAAAGCTATTGAAGTTATAAACTGGTCATGTACATATTTTGAAATTTGATAAGTGAAAATCCAGGGCGGTTTTTATGCTCATTTATTCACATATGTAAGTTTTGAAGTTCACCAAAAAAGGCAAACTTATGAAAATATACTGTGTATTTTTTTATTATTATTTATTATCATTGTTATTCCTGTAATTTAGTGATGTTGATCATTATTTCTGTAAAGTTGGTTGATTCTAACTCAAGCACTCAAGGAACAAATAACACAACATAATGAAACGGTTTTTACAAAGTCAAGGGAAATAACAGTAAACTCTACAAATACGGGATAAATCCACAAGCGGAAGCCAAGGTACACAACTAGTCATATGCTGACCGACCTTCCCGTAAGGCTTAATGACTAGGTCAAATCCTTTTTGATTTACATGCGACAAGTTGAAAATTGCAAAAAATTTCTAAGTCAAGGTCAATAACTCTAAAAGATAATTAATCCACACGAAAATATCCAGTGCACAACTTCACATGCTGATCAACATTTCTGCAAAGTTTCATGACTCTATGTCAAACCCATTTTGAGTTACATGCGACACAAGTTGAAAATTGCAAAATTTTACTTAGTTAAGGGCAATTACTCTAAAAATACTATATAAATCCAGACAAAAATACCCAGGTGCACAACTACACATGCTGATCAACATTCCTGTAAAGTTTCATGACTCTAGGTCAAATACTTTTTGAGTTACATCCAACACAAAAGAAAACAGACGGACAAGGGTAAATCTAAATGTTCGCCACTAAAGTGGGGCCACAAAAATATCTTGTTCAAGCGTGTTCAACCACTACACGTCCTGCCCCCTAATACAATAACAGATTACAGTCATCGAATTAAGCACTGGCCCGGTGGCCCATGACCAGTGTAAATTTTAAGAGAATTAAGTTAAATATATAGTAGAATAAATTCAAAACTGGAATTCGGACAAGTATATTCAAAAATCTTAAATTCAATGACTGAGATTAAGGCAATGTATTCAGGTTAGTGCTTAAAGTATGACAGTCACTGTTTGTGCTATTTTTGTTCTTTGCAAATCATCATGTGGGATTTATTTTAATGGACCAGTATTCAGATTCTCTAGTATAGGATTAGGCAGTGTCAAAGACAAACCATTTTAGCTAGGCTGTCACCTGGGACTGGACCACTGACCGATAAATTTTGGTGGCCTTGACAACTTTTTAGTGGTCCAATAATTCCTATACATGCACAGAAATCTAGAGATTAAATCACACTCAAACACACACATAAAAATCAAAAACAAACAGAAAACATGATTTCTGTTTCAAATAAATTTTTGGAGGTATCTTATTGTGATTAAAAATACAGTCAGTAATGTGTTATTTTAAAATACAGACATGATGTAGGCTTATTGAACATTATCTTTTCTTGTTGATCTTGTTTATCATATTCTAATATATAACTAGATCTACATAAATTAATGGTGATATAAAAATATTGTTTCTTTATGAAAAACTTTTTTCTAATACAAGTGCAAAATTGCTAAGGTAGTGAACTGTCTGCATACTAGGGTATTAAACTGTCTGGAAGTAAAAAAAACTTGCTAATATGCATTTTTCAAAACAATATTTTAAACTTTTAGAGGGCATAAGCAAATAATTTCCTGCAGGGAAGCACAACCATCTTCAACGATGCTTTGTTTTTTTATTCATTATTATTATATCTTTCCTGTTCAACAAAGAAATAAATAAAAACAGGTCGCGAAAATATGTGACAAATGTCCGTTTACGCATTTTTTCCAGTAAGGTTTAAGTATCTTAACTGTAACTAGGAAGAAGCTGGAAATACAATTATTATTTCTATTGTTACAGTCGGCAAATTGTTACAAAATAATGCTTTTAGAAGTGAAGAAAGGTCATTAAAATAATCTCTAGACTCTTCATTTTTTCTAGGGGTCATAAACACGCCGGCTCAGTTTGGGAAAAAATCAGTGCATTTATGATAATACTCACAGTGAATTTCACCGATTGCAGCTTTGAAGGTCTTCTTCTGATAATTTGCTTGAGCTATTTCACCTTCCTCGTTGTATGTCTTTATTGGGGAGACGATATCAGTTCACTGTTGATAAGAGACGAAGTGTCTGCCGTCTTTGAATATTGCGCGCACAATAAACCTGTGTTCTACGTAATAAACATGTGTACTACGTCAGTAACATGTGCTTGATTCGCAAAATTTCGTGTACTTCTGTTGTTTTTGCCGTCAATACAATGACTGAATAATTTCAATTATATCGTTGAATTTTATTTCAAAAATCTATTATTTTAAGCCCAACAAGCGCTTGAATTTCATACAATGCTACAGTAGTTTCCAAAACAATTGTGTTGCTACGTCATCAGTATACGTATCCAATACGTCATGAAATTATGCTCGTCTTGGTTAGCGTATATATACGGATATTGCTCGAGTATAATCGTAAAGGTTCGCTGGTTAAGTAAAGACTAAGTTATCATCGTTAATATCCGTCAGCCTACTTTAATTCAGGACTCTCGATTGACGCGGGGATTCGGGTTTTGACTCGTGAAAATTTGGAAATGCACAAATATGACACGTGAAAAAATCTGCACAAGAGTCAATTTGCCACTTTGGATTTTCAACTATGCAATAATTATCATCTTAAATCCACCCCTAATTAGATCTACATATGTTCAAATCACACTCCATAAAAATGTCAGCAGGCAGTATAATGTATAAAGTGGTTTATACACACAGCCTGTGCACTGAAGCATGACATCAGTGGATGCAATTTGACAGCGCTAAAAATAGCTCTACACAACTGATAAAAATTACATACTTCAGATGTCAATTATTGATTTTTTTAAGGTTTATAATAATACGTCTTTGATTTACTTGGAGTGCCTGTATATTTGTTATTTCTTTTTGGATTATATACTCCTATTATCTATTAATTAAATGGCCAATGATAAAATTGTCAGAAATGCAGGTTGACCATTAAGGTCAATTTATTATTAAATTTCAATTAGAATCTAAATAATAATAGTAATCCTAGAAAAATATTATTAAATAGATCTAGATCAGTAGGCCCTATGTTGTTTTATTTAAAAAAAAAACATTTTTATTTTCAATTTTATTCTCTTCCTTCTTTATCTACTTGTTTACTTTCAACAAAGAGAATTCCTAGTCTTTAGGAATTTATGTAAGATTCAAGGAATTTAGCACAGATGTTAAGGATTTTGTTCTACAAGATAAATTCTAAGTAATTCCTAAAGACTAGGAATTTTGCAAAATCTTAAGTCTTAGAAATCTCAGAAAATAAATTACAATTCCTAGTATAACTTAGAAATTGATGAGTTGTTTAAAAATTATCAGAAATGCCTAGTTCTCAGTAACTGGTATTTCCTAGGCCACACTAGAATAGCCAAGACTGGTTTTAACATTCTGGAATTTTCTAGGATCATAACTGGGAAATACTGGGACTTTTTAAATACCAGTATATATTTCTGCAAGGGTAGGCTTAAGGGACCACATAAGAGCAAACTTAAAGGAGGAGCTCCACTTAGATTCAAAACCATCAATTTTCAAAATCCAACACAGCTGAATTGGACCACTTAGAATGGAAAAATAGGAAAAAGATAATAACGAAATATACTAAAAATTAAATTGATAATATAAAAAGAGCTATCATCTGTAAGCCCAATTTGAGTCAAAAAGTATTTCAAATACTTTTTATTAATGCACACCAAAATGATTATTCTGCAAAAAGGAAGTTGGCAAGTGACCTGAAATTTTGAACACAAGTAATAGGTACTATAATCTTAATCAGATCATAAAAAAACGCCTCGATAATCTATTCTGACATGTCAAAAAAACCTGTAGTCACAGTTTATGCTATGGGTCCAGTTAACTTTTTTTGCTATGATAGTTGTAAGGAGTCCTTCAAATATAATAAATTCAAGATGTGGAATTATTTTCTGTTGTGATGCACTTATGTAAATTGACTAGTTTCTTCAGCTGTGAGTAGGCAAGATTTCAATTACATGCAAAAACTACTTTTAGCAGCCAAAATTCTATAGTGTCACTTCAAGTAAACTCCTGAAATGCTTAGCAATGTCCATATTTATAACTTAGAAATGTTCATTTTTATGGCTTAGCAATGTCCATTATAATTTATAGCTTAGAAATGTCCATATTTATAGCTTAGCAATGTCCATATTTATAGCTTAAAAATGTCCATATTTATAGCTTAGAAATGTCCATATTTATAGCTTAGAAATGTCCATATTTATAGCTTAGAAATGTCCATATTTATAGCTTAGAAATGTCCATATTTATAGCTTAGAAATGTCCATATTTATAGACTTACTCGTGAATAAAAAATATTTTGAGTTTTTACAAGGTAATTTGGAGGATACAAGCAATTTTTTCTACAGTTACAGCTTTGAAACTAAATGCAACAGGTAAATAAATCTATTGTCACCAGACTAGTGTACTGTGAAGCTATAACAGATCAAGATTGTTTGTACCGGAGTATTAGTTTTAGTTTTGGAAAAACCCACATTTGCCGAGTTCCGTATAACAGACATATCACAGTTTGGGCGGCAACCTTTAAAAAATATATATATACACTTAATTGTCATCAAATTAATACTTCAAGAGAATAAACTGTCACTGGGGCATAATAAAAATGTGCCAACAAAATGTTATTGAATCATTATGCAACATAATTTATGCTTGTGCATTATAAATCAACTGTTCTTGCATGGTTCAGTCAACACGACTTCATACTTAAATATTTCACAAGTCATACATTATGCAAACATATGAGTTTTAAAACACACTGGTTATCAAACATATCATTTAGATGTAATATTATACATTTTTTACACATCAACTACTTGATAAAACCTAATTGTACTAACACTACATTTTTTTTTACAAATTCAGACAATCCTTTGACTTGCTTTTATGTGAAATTTTATATTACTGTATCAAGTATCAGTGTCACACAAAAGTAGATGGGGTTTCAACCTATGCGATAAAACCCTGTACTTGACCAGGAGACACACAGGACATTAATTTCTGACCACCCTTTGACCTATTTTATGTTTAATTTCTAAAATACTACATCTGTCAGTAAAGAGATTTGCTTTAATATTGAATTATTGAAATCACAGTGGGTGCGAGCTTTTCATATAAGTTTATAATATCTATAGTACAATTTTCTAAGACATTTTAAGGGGTGTGGTGGCCTAGTGGTAAAGGTATCTGCTTCTCAAGCCATAGATCATGGGTTCAAGCCGTAATCGGGTCATGACCATGTTTTTTCATATGACACCAGTACTGGTTGGTTCCAGAAAGCAGACTCGAAAGTGTTTAATATAAGCTGCAAGAACTAATGTTTTCGCAATCGAATTTAAATAAAAATGTAAAAGACATTTAATTGTCATCCCCCTACCCATGGTACATTAATTTGCACCCTTATTTTGCTGAAGCCGACATTTGCCCCCCTTGTATATTTTAAAAGGCAGACATTTCCTGCCTCATGTCTACAGCGATACAGTTGTTAATTGTTATGCTGTAATAACTGTTATATTATATATTACCTGTAATCATCGATAACTAAAATTTACAAGACAAAGTCATGTTCTTTCTTTACGTAGGTGGTTGTTAAATAAATTTTGCAGTTTCTACCATTTTCTTAAGCAGTTGTTGATACTGATTCCTTTCTATTAATGATCCACAAAGTAAAACTGATTAAAAGCAGTTTGTATAGTGTTTTTTTTTAACATGAGCTATACTGTCGTAATAAACAATTAAATATTACAATATTATTAAAAAGTCATTCTATTTCTTACACGGCAAATTTAACAAAAGAGGGTGGGGGAATGGACAAATCAGTTTTCCCTATAGCATCAGCATAGAAATTCGTTGTAGTGAAAAATTTCTTAAATTGGGGAGGAGCTTATATGTGCGGTACTATCATAATCTCTGATTTGACATGTCAAATGTTCAAGACCGTTGCAAGAACAAGTTATGGCAATAACACATATAATCTTTCAATTTCTATGAAAAAAATCTCTGATTAAAAGCCTGATACATGACTGTATTAAATGTTTTTGATATTTCTAAAACACATCACGTAAAATACGGTTCTTAAGCCAAGTTACGTGTGCTTAAAAAATTAAAATATATTTTCAAAAAAAAAAAAAAATCTTTTGACAAAATTATAATTTTTTGACCTGATTCTAATTTTATAAGTACAAATTTTAACACTTACAACATGACCTATTAATATTCACACAGGGCGATTTTACGATCTATAATCATGAATGATATACAAAACAACAAATAACAGTTACTGTACCGTATTATAAACTGATATATCCTGTCAACATAATTCAATGATTTAACTCCGCAGTTAATCCATAGAATACTGTCTATATTTAGGTAAAAAAAAAACAAATTGTCCGTCAAAATGTATAAGCAGTTATTTTTCTAAAAACCTTACTCGCTTAAAAGTAGGCATAATATCTACCGGTATTTACAATGACAAATAATTTTGTTTTGAGACATCCAATACCTAATATATACACTGTATCACTGAGAAGCTTGCTACGCTCAATTTCAAGCCTCTATATAACTGAGAGCCTGGGTTCTAAATATTCAGCTATCGGAAAACAATTAGAGCACAGTGTAAACTGGCTTGCAAACAAACAATACCCTATTAGGAGGAAACTGAATTCTTTGAACGAAATTTTACAACTGGACCAAGTCTCTAGGTGGACAAAAGGACGCACATAAAAAAGTTTTTTTTTCTTCAGTGGGTGGACACACAATCACAATCGATTTTGACATAAAATAAATATTTTCAAGTCATCTGACAATGATGTTTACACAAAGAAAAAGAGCTTGGTTGGTAAAGGCATGGCTAAAATATAAAGTATCAGTGGACAACGGCAAACCACTCAGTAAGTATTAAATACAACTAAATACATGTAACAATTATAAAATTAACAATTCCATTTAGCTTGTAAAAACACAAATTTGTGTTAAGTTCAGGTTAACAATTATTACAAAAGACTATATTGCTTCTTATTTAAATTTCTGCTGAATCTAAAATGGGTCTGTGAGAGTTCCAAAACAAAAACAACAGACACATTTTAAAATCAAATATTTAATAAAAAGTGAACAAATAAAATTTCAATGTTGACACATAAACCTAATTTTATATTCTAATTTACAACAAAACCATTTTTCAGATAAAATAATTTATGTTGATCTTGTTGGACTAGGTAATAATTTAGATCAAAAGGTACCGCAATATTTGTCTGATGAAAGTTTGATAACATCTTTACGATGTTCCCTACCCTTAAATCAAGGAGAACATTACCTAAGAGAGTAATGCCTTTATCACCCTTTTAAAGGCCTATTTGAACCAATAAAACATTGTAAATTTTTTCACAGGTGAATTTATCACAACCTCTTATAAACTTCTATACTCATTGATCAAGATTATTATTACAAAATGACTTTGCAAAAATTTGAAAAATTGCTAACCTTTAGCGTCCCTATTTCTGATGACCTGCTGGTAGGAATATTAACAAATAGCTATAAGTTAACAAAACAAATACATGATAAAAAAAAAAAAACGAAACAAATTTTAAACATTATAATTTAAGAAAGCGGACAAAAAATACCAGCATTTCATTTCATAAATTTTTAAAGGGACTTCACTGATGCTTCTCATGACATAACAGAACTGGAAAATGAATATTTTTTCAGATTTGGGTATAGTAAATATTTGATGTAAGGCCACAGAAAATTAATTTTTAGACTCTCATCCTAGCCCGCCCGTATCAAAATCTTTCCGCCCCAAAATAATTTATTTTCATAAAAAAAAAATTGTTCATTTCCAGGGATCAAAATTAGTTTCATCTTCACATGTTCCTGAAGTGTCACACAATTGATGACATAATTGATTATACGGTACCCGATTATACAGTTTGATAAATAAACTAATAGTGCGTGACCTTTCACATTTGGGCCGCTTATGTAATTGACGCGGCCGCTTATTACATTTAAGTGTACTAGTTGTCGGATGCTTTTATCTTACGTTGGCGCCAGTTAAATTTGCAAATTAAAGATTTTATGCGCCAGAATGAATATTTTGTTGCATTTGGCGCCATTGGCGAGCGACAGCGGGAACCCTGCTATGATTTCGCAGACGTCCGAAAATCGTGGTTGAATGCATAAAATCAGACTGAGGTTTACAGCGTTTTAAATACTTTCGTTTTCGATCAGTAAAATTGTCAAAATGTTCGTCATATGTGAAATATATGATGCAGTAAACAAGAAAACTGTTTGTGATTGGTTTGGGTTTAGTTTTGATCAAAATCTGGGTGGAAATGATGCGACGTTATACATTTCTGTTTTTTCAGGTCTTAAAAGTGATGGATAAAATAAATTATAAATTATAAATTCCGCCCACCCGCCCCAATTATTTCTTGA